CAGATATTGTAAGACTTAAGTCTGTTACTCAGAGCTATCCATTCCGACCTTAGTGTTTAGGTCTCCTATTAAGATTGTCAGTCCGTTTCCTGAGCATATTTTTACGATTGACTGAAGTCTCTAATGAGACTGATCTTTATCGTCTCCACCGCAGTTATTGATGGTTGCTTAACACTGGATAACATTCGTGTATTCCTTTTCTGAATTGTTTTAAGGAACGTTTTGATCGCCCTGAGTACGTCAGACCCTACCCCATGAATGCTTTCAGTGCAACCCATATATGGAAAGCATTTTCTTCTTCAAAACCAGAGTCCAACGGCGCCTCTGCCTCATACCTCTCTCGGGTGAAAATGCCTACACTTCAAAGGCATATTCTCAGCGACTCATATTGTTTTTATCGTTTGAGTCCCTTATTAATGGTCGTTTTATTTGGAATAGGGTTGCAAATACAATGGTCAACCTTTATCCTCTATCAGGGTTCGAGACAAGCTCTAGATGAAATCGATTCTGAACATAGCTTTCTAAAAAGGATCAAAATAATGATAAATGCAACCAAAAATCTACACGCAATTTGAAAGTTAACTCAACATAATACGATTGGGGAAATGAACTAGGTTACATTACTCTGAAAGTTCGATCTCCCGAGTACTCATCAAGTAGTGGCTATTTACTGCTTCATATAACACAAAACAAATTTCAGGAGGCCAAGGCAACAGTCGAATAATTATTGTGGAATTGTATATTAAGGAAAGTCACTAAGAACAGGCTAATGTTGAAGAACCGTGGAAAAATGATTCTTTGTGACATTTCAGATGGGCACACATTCAAAACAATCCTTCATCCTGTAAGCCATATAGAGTAGAGAACAATCTGAAGAAGAACATACTAGTGTGTTTCGCCTAAGGCCAAAATTAGATGAACTTTGATTTCTCACTAAACCCTACATCTCGCTTGTTAACGCCAGATAAAATTATTTATACCCTTATCCAACAAAATGCCGCTTGTCGCAGTTACTAGAATTTCCACAGAACTTGAGATATACCGTGCCAGTGCAGTCTATAATATCTTAACGAATCAACCAACCCATCACACTTAACTGTAACTATAAGATGAAAAGTCCCTCAGACTGACATCCCACCGAGATGGTATAGCTCTGTCATGCAGACATATTCATCCTATATAACCTCTTTCTTGATAAATTTTATTCTGCCCACAGCCTTAATGTGTTATGTAAAGGTTCGTAAAACCTATATATCTGACTATCACGATAGGACGAGTCTGTATAGACAGTGATATGACTACGACGTAAGATTCTGTGGTTAAGTAGTCAAATCATGGCAAATCCACACTGCTAAATTAGATTCAATATTCTAGTGACATAGATATATTCATTAATATTAGCCTAGACCTACGTTTCACGTCATTGTGGTAAACTCTAACGGATTACAAGGATGCCTGTTGGTCAGTAAATCCACTTCATGATTTTCAGGTTAAATGTTAAGTTCTGCTCAAAACTCTACGATCTACATTCTGGCGGAAAACAACATTTTTAGAGGCACTATTTTGCCAGCATACCAGACAATTAAGACTTATGAACCATGGATTAAACATCGATGCATTATTATACAATAGTATAATGTGTGAGTTTCCAAACGAAGTATCAACAGTGCGATGTTTATCGATGCAGACTGATGCATGTGAGAATATAAGTTACAACTATTCTTCCACGTTAACTAGGCAAGAGTTAACAACAAAATAACGTCTAGTCACGAACTAAACACACCGTAAACATAGAGCTTCTGATGACTCTGTACAACATTAATAGATACAGTGGTTCATAAATTAATCTCCATTCACACTAGGTTCTAAGTTATAATGCTAGTGGACAGTTGGACCCTGAATTATGTAGACCTCCATAGATCCAGACTGTTAAACTATCCTCGAATTTTCAATTTCCATCATGATGATCTCATGCTCCCAGTATCTCCATTTCTTACTTACCCATCAACAACTTCAACAACTCTGGTCGCTTACCATCTCAGAGATAGCGGATCCTACTTTCTAGTATGGTTTATAGGCATTTGTGGATCTACTAATTGGTGGTTTTCTATCCGTGATTATCAGGTCGCATGTTATTGAAGAGTCATGTAACAACAGTCTGGAGTATTATCGCTACTTAACTGCCTTCCTTATTCCTCATGGCCAGTTCTTCCATCGATATTTGTCTGCACAGTTATATATGGAACTAAGCATTATCTAGTGGACGTAATATTGACTCCTGATGATGACGGATATTCATTTGCTTATAAACCATGGTATAATGATTATCAGAGCATTTAGTGTTTTTTGATGTGTTTTTCAAAAGATGCTTGAAAAGTGCTAGGCGCGAGTGTTATTAGTGACACCTGATCACAAATTTGTCCATATCAAGCCAGCAAAAATTCTGTGAGGTTAGCATCATTGGTAGTTCCAAATACAGCAGAAGGATCGGCTAACTCTGGTAAGAGCAAGACAGGTGAAAAAAATCATGGTTATAAGAGGGAATAAAGCCTCACATCTCAGACGTAGATTTTAAGCATCCATATTGGACGATTCAGAATTCAATATTCATAAGTTAAGAGAAATGTCAGTTAGCCGGTATCATGAAGCATAACACTGCGCGCTCCATCGTCGGCCAGAAGTCACCGCCATTTTATTGTTATCTCTTTGTTTGATTTGGTTTTACTTCAAGCATTAAGAAATTTAGTCACTATCTATATATAATAGTGCTGGTGACTACACAAATTATTTGTTTACTTACGCCTGTTACCCCTCAGAGAGGAGCAAAAGCCGATCACCACCATTCTCCATTCACCTCTCTCTCGGGCAACCCTTCTCAGTTGTTTCCAGTTGTTATTCACTCTTTCGATGTCTGCAGTGTGCAGTGTGTTCTTAGCCCTTCCTCTTTTTTATTTGTCATCAGGGTTCCAAGTTCGTGCTTGCCTCGCGACGTGATTTGATGATTTTCGTCATGTATGTCCTATCCACTTCCAAGGTCGTTTCCAAATTAACTCCAGCATGAAGATTGTTTATCCTCTCCCACAAAAGGCTGATGGTATCCGACCAATGGAAATCGAGTATCTTGTGTAGACAATTTTTTGGAAATACTTGTACGTTTTTGATGACGGTTGTGGTATTTGTCGAAGTTTCGGCTCCATACGGTAGAACTGTCTTGACGCTTGCATTGAAGATTTTGACTTTGATATTGGTTGACAGAGAGTTTTTTAGTTCGAAATGTTCTTCAACTGTAAGAGTACTGTACTTGCTTTGTCGATCCTCGCTTTTACGTTTGCATCGGATCCTCCTCCTTCATAGATGATGCTTTTCAGTTACAAGAAAGATTTCACATCTTCCATAGTTTTCACATCATGTGTGGTTGGGTCGGTGTTCTCTGTGTTGTATTTGAGGATCTTTCTTTTTCCCTTGTATATGTTGAGGCCTACTGATGCAGAGGCTTCTGCCACAATTACTGTGTTGACCCGCATTTGTCCGTGTGCAAAGGAGACTACACAGATACTTAGTAGATAAAGTTGTATTTCACTAAAAAATTGACAATACAGAAATAAGTACGAATGGGGTGAAAACTTTTACTGATAGCCAGTTAGAAAGTCATATAATGCAGCTTCAAATATCTGCGACCTAACTTTCCGAAGCAACCACTGATAAAAAAGTTGAAGTTTTGAGGCACCAATTCTTTTCAGTATTATCTATGTAGAAAAAGATGAATCATTAAACCAATATCTCGAAAGCTAGACGTTTAAAAACCTGTAGCGTGGCGTCGAGCTGAGGTTAACTATGAACACCGCTACCAAGAAACACGTGCCAAGCGAATCAGAAGGCGAGGGTTGGACGTAACCAAATAGATCCATAAAATCCCCGAGAAGCCGAATACCAGAAGGCAATTAATGGACCAAGTCGAGGTTTATTTGCTGGCGATCTCGTGGCATCGATAGGATACCGAGATCGTGCCAGGATACAACCTTGGTTACAGAAGGTAACCGAATTCGCGCGAAGTTACAATCGAAGTGTAAGTATAGGAATGGAAGCACAAAATAGCTGTCATTAGCAAAGTCAAACAAAAGCACGTTAAAACAGTCACTGGTACACTTGGTTATAATAATAAGCGTTTTTATTAAACCAGTCGTGTTCTCGTGATAAATGTGAGTCACTACAAACCTGTCGCATTCCCTATGGACTTTTATGCTCCTCTCTGTCAGACTTCGTGTTCTCTAGTCGACAAAAGTTCTTGAGGCTTTGTTTTCTATATGTTGATATGAAATCCTATGTTCAAAATGAAGTTCAAAATTTTTCCGATTATTTGTCTACTATGGTTTGATCGGCTCCATATTGATTATTAATTATAATCCCAGAAATGATCGATATGACTGTATACCTACTTACAAACCCATATGAAAGCTTTTAGATATAAGGGGTTGGTAATGTTTTGGGCCAGAGTTTTGAACTTTAAAGGCTCTAGCTGTTCGCTAATATGACTCAGAAATTTTAACCATGAATTAGCACTTTTTGATTTCTTCTCCTTAATATCAACGTTTGACAGGCCGATATTGTGATATTTGTATGCTGACGTCTTCGCCCTATTTTCATTACATGTTGGAAACTAGTTGCTCCTTGCATTTAGATATTAATCTAACGTTAAAGTCTACAAAAAACATGTATAACTTCTGTTTTTAAGCACAATGAGACAATAGTGTTGACAGAAATTATATTTTAGCACCACCAAGTTGCCAAGAAAACTCATCAATAACCACCAAGCTATTATTTTCATGTCCATATGAGAGTTTTTGCAATTGTACACTGTACATTATCAATAGAAGTATGGTGTCTTAAATGGTATTTTAGCTTTCACTTATATATCTTAATGTTATTTGTGTTCCGAAAGATACTCAATGACCATCAGGAGTTTGTATGACTTGTTCGTTAAAACAAGTCATATTTTGTGACGCTGGCAACCGTTGACATAACGCTTTGCCGCCATAGTGAGCGCCATAGTCACCGTAGCTGTTGGCGACTGTTTCCTGTCAACTGAGGTGGGATTTTCATTTTATGATTTAAATAGTAGTTTGCGGCCTTAATGGTGTAATCCTAGTAATAAAAGTCCAAGCAACATGTAATAAGTCAGATAGATGTTATTTTATATTTCGAGCTATTGTAGTCATATAATCAGTCCAGTCCTTCCAATATATTTGTGACTGTTGACCAGGACGGTGAATGACGAGTCTCATTATTGTAGCCTGGTTTCAAAGTATACCCGGTTTATAGAAAGCTCCTAAAGTTCCATAGAATTCTCTGTGCCTAGTTAAACATCACGAATAGCTTTTTCTGCAATAATCCGTGTTGCACTCCTCGACCTGAAATTCGTTCTCAAACAACACTCCAAGTACTTTAGTTACAATAATACAAGAACAAAGGAAGATTCATGTGCTTCGTCTGATTATCTTACTCGAAGTTTACCTAGGGATTCACCTTTTATCATATCTTGATGAAAATCAATCCGCTTGCAAGTCGACTTGGGTAATGTTGTTGTTATGGTGGTTGGTATACCACTATCCCTGGGTATTTATCCATCAATAGATAGTATAAATGGTTATCCATACTACAATCATGTGCAGATTCAGCGGTCTAGAGTTTTGTAAAAGTATATTTTGTCAGTTGACAAACTGGAATAATAATATTTCGGTTTCGTTATCAACCATACAAATTAGTGAGTGTTGCTTAAGCACTTTGCTTCTGTTAGCTCTCAGTCTAGAGAACCTGCAGTTTCCTGTAAAGCTCGTATTCAGAGAATTAGTCGTTTCTAAGACACTAATACTGTTCTACTCCAGTTCGTGACACATTCTCCGTGTTTATTTGTTCAAAGAACTTCCCCATCTTTTTTTTTCAAGTAATGTTAGTCAAACAAGGCTGCTTGTCGTCCACTCATTACCCTTATCATTTTGAACCAATTAAGTTTTGAGTTTAGAGTCTTCATTGTAATAATATACTTCATTTGTATAACTTCCGCTAATAGTTATGGAAATAATGGCTTCAATCGATAGTCTAACATTACCTTCAAGTCAAAGAGCATAGCTACAGATGAGTGTCAAAATCTAGATATAACATTGTTCAAATGACACATTATGCTCCGAAATAGGCCTAGTTTTATGTGTTAATTGTTATCGAGCTCTACTAAAGCGTAGGATTGTACTTCAGAAAAAGTGGAAGTCTTTTACTATCTTTAACCGTATATAGTGATTAATATATTTTATTTACATCCATCGTACGGAGTTATCTAGTTTGATTTTCTCTTTATACATTTCCCGAATTGTCACTTGATAAAAATAAACTATCTACATTGTGCATTTGCTGTAAATAGTTTACACTATGTTGTCGGGTGGAATCCTAGAAGACCTAGTTGTTTATCTTTTTGCGTAAATACGTCTACTTGGTTGTTAGTTACCCATTACGGTAACTATGATTAGGCGACGGTCATCCATTTAGTGCTGGTAACTTCTAAGTTCAAAGACAAATAACTATCAGATCCTTGATTGTCTTATGACTTTCTGCACAGAATCACATTTGTAAGGATATTAACATAACATCATAGTTTAAACATTGTGCGACTTCGTAAATTAACCAACAATTCGGAACGTAGTTAAATAAAATTTCTTGTATTCTGACTAATTTCTAACCATTACATAACAAATTGATCCTTTATTTCATGAAAACTGGATTATGATGTGAGAATCATCATGTTTCTGTTGGCTATTATGTTGTGGGCGTTGCTATAGCTAAGTAGTTATAGACAATCGACTCATCAGTTTAGGCGCACCTCACCGAAATGTTTGACATGTGATACACCTAAAGGTGTGCACTAGAAGCAGGTCAAGTAAAAGTTTACGGAAATCATAAAAATTTGTAACAGTCTCCATCATGTCCACTAGTTATTAGTGACTATAAGTATATTTTCATGAATAGTAATACATGGATCAAACCTAAACTCACCCGTGTTTAGAAAAGAGACTGTCTTTTCAATATAGTATGATTAGATTACTTTAAAACTGCTTTTATTGTATTTTTCACATGGTAGCTTCCATACCCTGTAATTTATTTCCGTCGTAATCTACTTCAGCGTAACTATTAAGTATCCTTTTATTTTGGCGTAATAGGATTGCCCAGATTCATTTTCTGTCCACATAACTTCATCTAATTCCGATCTACTTTTCACTAGTATATCCTCTTGGGGGAGATTACTCGATTTAATTTATTTTCATGTTTTAGGTGCACAAATTTTCACATTTTCACTTACAATCAAGACCATGCAATCAGCGTCTGGTCCGGGTACCACCATTGTTCATCTATCTCCGAAAAATCATACAATTTTACAACAAGGTGGTCAACATGTCCTACTTAGTAAAATTGGTAAAGTGAAATATACTGACAATTAATATTTTATTTTAACGATAGCTTCCGACTCTACTAGTAATCGTCCACCAACAAGTGGAGTGGAAACTAGTTTATTACAAACAGCACATTCAAATAACTCACAAACTATATATCCAGCACATTATATTGAAGCTATCGCTGAACAAACTGTATATACTGCAAATGGAGAAGGCGGGTAAGTATGTTCTTTGATTGTATTTGTATGTTTATTAAACGGTTAATGCACTTTGTACTATGTAAACAGTTACAGTGTCAAAGGCTTTCATTTCGTTACGAAAAATACCCTGAAAATATTAACAAATGGATTATCCATTTTCAGTCTGTATTTCCATTCCTCAGAAGGTTTTGTATTGTTCAGTAAATATACTCTGATGGGGAATTATTTTAGCTATCAGTAATATTAACCTTGTTTGTAAAAATCGTTCCATCTGTTGTTGTAATTGGCTTACTCGACTGACTTCAGCCAGTGAAGTATTATAAACGAAGAATGGGACTTAGGATCTCCAGGTCTTGTGGTGATTCTATCACCTTTAGACCCACCAAGTCGGAGTCCAGCTGTCAACATATCCGACTTTCATGGTTTCACAATAAATTGTACTATTTATGAAAATTGTCTTAATTCTGATATGAACGAGCACCGGTTGTGACTTCTTGCCACCACATCTGAAATCCGTTTCAAAGTTAGTTACTAGCGACCATGCTATTGGTATTTGGTCTAGTAGATTGTGGAGATATTTCCAAAGTTTTATATCAGATGGAATATGAATTAACTTTTATGTGAACGGGTGTATATATATACCAGATACCTCATTTTTACACTGATCACAACAATAAAAATCCTCTCCAGTTTTATGTATTTTAATTTACATCACAGTTTTCTATGCTTCTACTGCTCTTCTTTCATTCTCTTTGGGTTCTTATCAAATTTCTTGATTTTCAGTGGGATTCTCGAAATTAAGTCTGGTACGCCATTAAGAAAACTATTTGCATCAGTCACGAAATCTTTGTCTGGGTAATTTATGCTTGATCCATCTCTCTAGAGTTTCGTTTGTTGTTATAAAATAATTGAGTGGTTGATTTGGACAATGGAATGAGGAAATTATACTGCTATCGCTAACCCTTTTTCTCTCCCCCAAATCATCATTATTTACTCGTTTTAAATTAATCTAATTTTACCCTCTTAACCCCCCGTGCTTGTGCGTGCGTGTGTGTGTGTGTGCTTTTTGGTACTCCTAACCCCCGTTTTAAAGTGCTATGTATTTTATATTGTATGTTTGAATATTATGGAATGACATTTAAGTGCATGTTTTTTGATAATTAGTTTGTTAATTGGAATGGTTTATTAACAAAATGACAGTAGTTTTGTTTGAGGTATAATTGGTAATGAATTGATATTAACATGTATTATTTTATAGGCATGTTGGTCGGTGGTTTATGTCGACTTGCATGAATTTTACTGATCCGATTGGGTACAGTCAAGTCTTTATTATATTGCCTTTATTTTTATTAAATTTGTTGGCTATTTAATTAGTTTGCTTTCAAGCTGTTCAGTTATTTATTGAGCTATAGTTATAGTTATGCATGATCTGTCCAATATACATATATATTTACAGAAACTGATCTATTAATAGTCTTTAATGAAACCCAATGGTGCACATGGGCTCCAGTATCCTGCGGGAACAAATGGCGTATGAACCAATTGTTGGTCACCGTCTTCCATGGGACTGCATCTCCTTACGATGCTCCACTGCGTTGTGGATCAGATCTTCAGGTCGGAGGCTCGGGGAGTGGCCCCCTAAGAAAACTACCTGCTTCGGTTTGGGCACCCGAGCAGTATCACAGCTCTCACACATCGAATGAGATTTGTGTGGCGCATATGTATATGGTGCCTCCTTGTACCAATATCTATGTGCCTCCTTTAATGAAACATAAGAAGTACTCTTAGAAAATGTATCAAATACTATAGATCATTTATTGAGAAAAGAAAAAAACAGCTGTTTACAAAGACTGGATCAGGTAATTGTGAACGAAAACTACAAAACACTTCAATTTTAACTGAAACCCAGAAATAAATCATTGGTGTATACAATTCTATAAAACATGAAATGATAAAATAACTGGAGAGTTTAACTTCTATGAACATCCAGGAATATATATATATATTTTAACGAATCAATTGTGAATGTATTTTCATGAAATAAAGGAAATGTCAAACAAAACAATATTATTGACTATAAATTGGATCAAATCATGATAAATTGTTTGAACAACCGCTTCAGTTCATCTATTCCAATGGACAGACTGTACAACAGTAATATGATTTTGTTTGAGTTTATCTTATTGGTTTTCGTTTGTTTTTCTTTTCTTTATTAAATATCTAAATAATATTTTACATTGTATTATTACTGACAACGTATTTGTTGAATTTTTTTTTCTCCATTTATTTCCTTTATTAGACAATATCAAGAATATACACCGATTATTTATGCTCCTGTTTCAGGCGGACCAACATATTATCAAACAGCTAATGGACAAGTTAGTATTTTCTTCATTATTATGACTGTTTTGAATAGTTATCAAAAGTGATTTTCATTTTGATTTAATGTAGTGGTTTCGTCGGTCAGTAGTGAACATTCATTTACGACTCTTTGAGACATTTTCAAATCTTGTAGTGATAATTATTTTTAGTGTGTTCAACTTCAATTTTTATACTGTTGTACAATTCTTATCTGAAGTTATTAATGATATGTCTCTCTGATTGGATTTCATTGATCACAAATTTCTCATTAATGTATTCAGAAATCTATTTTGAAGTTACCCAAGGATAATCAAATGATTATTAATATTTTTATTATTTCAGTTGACATTGCTCAAACAATTTCGAGGTTAAATGCTACATAAAAAAGTGCTGAATCAGTCAATAAGATTCTAAATTATTATCGACTGAGACCACTTGGATATGTGTTATATATTCTCAACCACCGCCTACGTATCTAAACGCTCAGTATTGTCAGGGCTAGGAGTGATTGGTACGTTGAATGAAAGTTAAAGGCGGTTATACAAACACAGGATTTCAGTCCATTAACCGCTTGTCAGTGTGAATAGGCTTAGACTAACTAGTTGGGGTTCACGTTATGACTGTATTTTTGATTTACGTAAACATGTGAACGTTGGTATAAAGAGGCCCGATTTCGTAAGCAAAACCTCTATAGTAAGAAGGCAGTGAATAGAAGAGAGTGAGATTTAAATCCATCCACCCTTGGTTGTACTTGGAAATATCGGGGCATTTGAACATCACTAGTTATTGGTGATCTTGAGCAGTTAAATGGTTAATAATCAGTCACAGTGGTATAAATGCATTCTGTATCATCTTCCCATGCATTCCAGTTTCGACTATCCTCCTTCCCTCGAATCTTAAGACACTATGTAGTTTTTGGGAATGTAGGGTTTTATCCATTGTTCCCTTGTTGAACTGTATACTTTTTCCTTTCTGTTCCAAAATATGATGAATTAGTGCGTCATAGTTTAATACGAAATTTTACACCATCTTTATGTATTGTATCTGTCTAATGTATTTTGGAATTTTTTTAGGTTTTAGCTACTGCGTTTGGTGCAGCGAATAGTGCAACAGGTCATGTTGGTGCCTTACATACTGCTGCGGCGGCACATGCAAATTTAACTGCCACAGCTGGTGTTGGTCACGCCCAATTAGTTACACACCAAGGTGCAACATATTTATTACAAAGTGGTCAATTAGATGATGACGGATCCTCCATATCCCATACAGCAAAAGCTAGTCCTGTCACTGTAAGTAGATATTGAGTACTTGGTAGTGATTTCATTATTTATGTGTCTATATTTAAACACAGAAATATTGGTCTAGTCCTAAGCGATAAGAAAATGAGTTTTTTAAGAGGTGGAGAAAAAGTGAGTATAATTTGAGTCAAAAGAAACACCAATTGATAAAAATGTGAATAGGTGAAAAAATCAATGAAATAAGCAGTTCATTTAAGAAAAAAAATAACCAGAAAGGTTTCTCCTAGTTGAAGTTCTCCACCCTCATATAAAGGAAGTAAGAGGAAATTACAACACAATCGCCAGTGACTTCTATTTCGAGCCAAGTTACTGTGTTGTATTGTCTCTAAGACCCCGACCAAGAAGTCGTGATGGTCTGACGGATGTCACTTCTGTACAGCCTTTCATGCCACGACACCATATCATAAACTGACCACTTCTTCGCTTTTTGCAGTTAGTCCTAGCGTCGGCAAATAATTCACGATGTGAAATCAGCTGAAACGATATTGGTAGCATACGTCTAAGCCATTGAGGCTGGTGTTTTTTTCGGGTGATGACAGTAACTAGATTATTGTAACTTTACCCGAATAAATGTTGGTGAACCTCTGCAGTACTAAAATGGTGTCACCATTGAGTGTCAGTAGTCGTTCGGATACAACGATGGTTGAACACAAAGACTTGCCTAACGTCCTCAACTCGGAGAGGCTAGTTTTCACAAACATACAGCAAGCTTCTCAGCGACGCGTTGTAAACCTGACCTTTTACAGGCAGACTAATATCACAAAGGCACTAAAGATGGCTCAGACTGTCATAAGCCGCTCTGGCTTTCACTATACGTAAGTTGACCTCATCAGTTACGCCACCACCAGCACTTACACAGCTACCCAAATACACAAACTCTTCGACTGATTCTAACTGCTCATCATCAATAATTGGTTTTATTCCATTGTTTAATCGTTAAATTTTTGTTCAATATACCTGTAACTCAATTTCGTAAGCTCTATGGACTCTTACGATGGGATTATCTTTTAAAGAATGATACGCTCATGAAAATTTTACCAACATTTTGAAGTCTATACAGAAAAAAACAAACTTAGGCAGAATTAAGGCACACCAAAACGTTTTCTCATTATTACAGTCGAAAATGGAGTTGAACAAACAAGTTTACTTAATTTCACCATCCCCTTTCAATCTTACAACTAGTTATGATCTCTTATTGCTTAGTATTCCTGGACACTACTTCACTTGACAAGTCGCCAAACCAGAACACGGTTGAACAGGAACGTAATTATATTCAAAATAAACAAGGTTGAATGGGAGTAAGAATCGCAATAAGAAAAATGTTAGTATATTTATAATTTTGCACGATATTCTAGAGTCTTCTTCAAGTATCCGCTAACGTTGATTGACTAATAAATGATCAATCAACGTACTCCAACTCAATCTTGCCCCTAAATGCCCTGGTATGGCTGAGAGTGGGGTGGGCCCTCCCTCCCTCTTGAAATGCTCTCACACGGCCACGCGTATACAGCCTCTGCAAGGGAAGTCCTACCCGCTGCCTTCTCGTGGCGGGGGTGTTGTTTACGAAATTGAAAGGACGAAAAGCGAATGTCCGGCGCTTTAACCGGATTCCAAACCAATGGTGCACATGGGCTCCAGTATCCTGCGGGGACAAATAGCGTATGAACCAATTGTTGGTCACCGGCTACCATGGGACTGCATCTGCTTATGATGCTCCACTGCCTTGTGGGTCAGACCTTTAGGTCAAAGGCTCGAGATGTGGTCCCCTAAGAAAATCACCTGCTTCGGTCTGAGCACCCGGGCACTATCTCAGCCCTCACACAAACTGAATGGTTTATGTAGCGTATATGTATTTGGTGCCTCCTTGTACCAATGTTTATGTGTTTAAATAAATAAACAAACAATCCTGCACGGAATATTCTTTAATCCAATCAATATCTTGCTAACACGATTGATGTTACAGGAGATCGCTCTACATATACTGGAGTTTGAAGTAGTTTATGCGTTAATGTAGGCCATCTCTAATGCCGTCATAATATCAGTTTATCTGTAAGAGGTTGAATATACAATGCCTCACCGACCTTTGTTCTGCTCTATGCTTGTAAAACTTGGTCCCTCCGATCTGATGATATATATTGTTTTGTGTGATTGTTTACATTCAATGACAAGAGCGTGGAAATAATGTCGAGGTCCAACATTGAGCATTTTCGCAAACTGATTATGATAATGCACTTAATTTCATTATCTACAAACAACAGCTTTAGTATTTCGAACATGTTTTACGAATTTTGTTTCAGCAGCTTCTTCACTGCGTATTCTTTACCAATATTGGAACAATGTAATTCGAGAAGTAAGAATAAGAGGTATTAAATAATCTTAAAACTCAAAACCTAAAGGGTTAACAAAGAATGAATACATCTGTGGCACTGCGACTGACTTTTAATCATCTCCCCCAACGTCTGCAACCTCTGACCATAGTTACCACTCGGATCCCAACCACGTCTGCCTCACAGTACCGTCCGATAATTTCATGCAATATTCCTATGTTCTAGTTCAACCACCCTTTGCTATCTTCGCACTTAACCCCCTACTCTGCCAAACCAAATATCAGGGTAGGCGGTAGTAGGTATATATAATGCATTTATTAAATACCAATCTAGTTCATTGATGTACATGTTGATAATACAATCAATTCCATCTTTTGTCTCTTTACAATATTTTGTGTGACACCTTATTGTTATTACCTTACTGTACTATAATGTCTTTTGTCTGTTTTATACACACAAAAATAAACTCTTACTCGATAAATCTTAGATCTGGTACATCTTACATAATCTTCAGTTAGTTAATCAATGAACAAGATGATCTTAAATGGTGTTCAAAATGTCGGTAGCTGATTATCGTTTCCCAGCTGTATACACACTATTCTTAAGGGATCTGAAAATGAGACTAGGTTACTATTAGTAGTAGTGGTCTTACTGATCTAGGAGAATGGTAACAGAGCTCAGACGACAACAGCTGCTGAAACCCAGCTACATACAAACTTTTTCGTCAATAGTACTTAATGTGTTAGCTTCGTATATTGATATACATTACATCTGGCGACTGAAATCCATATGATGTACTATTTATAAAACTTACAATCTAATAGTATATGTATGTTGCATTTGTTCCTTGACCTATATTAAACTTGTTTTTTTTCAACATTATTCACTAATAAAGCAAATTGTTTCTTATCATATTTTAGGTTCAATGGCTTGTTGATAATTACGAGACAGCTGATGGTGTTAGTCTTCCACGTAGTACATTATATTTTCATTATTTACAACATTGTAATGAACATAAATTAGAGCCAATGAATCCAGCATCATTTGGTAAATTAATACGTTCAGTATTTTTTGGTCTACGTACACGACGACTAGGTACACGTGGAAATTCTAAATATCATTATTATGGTATTCGTATTAAGCCAAACTCACCTTTAAATCATTTTATCGAAGATGCTGGTTTCTCACTTCGACATTATCCTAATTATCATCGTCAAACAATGGAAGCTGCAGCTGAATGGAAAAATTTCACAAATTCTTCGTTAAATCGATTGAAATCTTTAAGTACAAATGGGAATGGAGTCAATAGTGGAAGTGTTGGAGTTGGGAACACTTCTTTTGGATTAAATAATTTAGCATCTCATGTTCATTCAACATCACATATCTCATACAGTAATGCCAGTAGTAATATTAGTAGTAGTAATTCTCAGTTATCATCTCATTACGGTACCAGTACAACAGTGACAACATTCCGTTCTTCAGATAAATCAATGTTAAATAATAATCTTTATGTTGGTAGTGGAAGTGTTTCTTCACATTCCACTAGTCAAAATGTTGCTAGTGTTACTACAAATTCAGTAACAAGTCCTTTATTATCTTCTAGTGGTGTTGGTAATGGTCAACATCATGCACATTTTCTTGGTGAAGCTAGTTCCGCATTGCCTAATCTAGATGAAATATGCCGATCATCTGGTCTTCCTGTGCCAAGTGAAGGTAAGAAACACAATCTTGTTTATCTATTTATATATAAATTCATAATTGATTCATTTCATCAAAAGAACTAACTTATATTTAGTAGACTCGATGAATGTTCGTGTGACATTTTTCCATCAGGATCCTGGATCACATGTACACCATTAGTTTAGAATTGTGGTTTTCCAACCCCTAAGTGGATCCTCCACATACACCAACCGGTTAAAGCGTTAGACATTCACTTTTTGTTCTCTCAATTTCGTAAAAAAAAACCATGCCGCGAGAAGGCAGTGAGTTAAACTTCCCTAATAGTGGCCGTGTGAGGGCATTTTGAGAGGAAGAGTGGATTCTCCTCACCTTCGACTGTACCAGGGTATCTGGAGGAACGATGATCTCAATGTTCTATCAAATCAATTCTTCCGTCATAACACTAGGCTAGAATTGATTTGAATATGCGATTACTCATTCCTGACCGCTGACAATACCGTGACTTAATCAAGATACATCCACACCTTTTTGAAATTTATACCCCCCCCCTAAATAGTCTTATTTAACAAAATTTCACAGTCTTATCAATCGATCCACCTTCCGTACGTTTTATTATTCTAATCAAAACCTAACCATTTAGTCACCCAATGTGTTCCACTATACGTAGTCAGTATTTTGTAGATACGTATATTAAAAGGAGTTAATAGCATAAAGTAGAACGGAGCGAAATGCTGGGCAGTAAATTCGTCCTTCGGTTGGTAGATGTATATCTCGCTTACATTACAAGTAACGCAAGTTGGCAAAGTTTAATCGAGCTTTCATGATCCGAGATGAGATTTCGTCAGACACCAGCCCATCAGGACTGATGAGATTCCCAATTTAAGTGAAGCATTCGGCACCCTCAACTACTTCACTCCCTATCATTAATTCAGGTGCTGACACAAGCTAATCCTGAAATAATATTTTGTATTTGGTGCGAGAGAATCGCATTCTAAACATGCTTGCATTCCTGCTTCAATTGTTTATGAGGCTGGATTTTTGAGCATCTTCACCCAGCAGAACTATTTCGTCTGCGTATTCCAAGTCAACAAATAAGTCTCCTGATAAGAGATCAACCCATTGAAAAATCTGACAATGAATGTCGAAAATATATAACAAAAACCAAAACGTGTATGTGTGTCCCCTACTTAAATTTATTCAGTCATCATCTACTAATGTGTGATTTAAATCACAATATTGATAGTGATCACCGATCACCATGTGACCAACTACTTTATTTTCTGTGATCAAATTAGGCATTGGCACATATCTATTCCAAAGTGATGTTTTTCATTTGAGAAAAAACATAGGAGCACAGATCTTGGATGTCCATGAGGTATTCGGAAGGTAGTGGATTTCATCTCCATACTTTAAATCTTTCTTTCCCTATGTGTGTATCTGAAAGTGTCTATATAGAAGATCAATCTTTGGAAAGTTTAACATAAATTAATCACCTTCAGAACCACGTATTGAGGATAATTTTTGAATATAAAAATAAAAGGGAAATTAATTGACAGTTTACCTTTATCTTTAATTCATCATTGTTAGTTGAAAATGTTCAGTGACAAGTACATTACTACATAGAATGAATATTCTTCTAAATGATGTTTTTTATGTTTTATTTTTGTTTTCTTACAATCTATCAGTTGATTTGCCAGAGAATAAAAGTCGTTTAAAAACAGTTGAAACATCGAATAATTTATCAACAAATGAAGATGTAATTACATTTTGTCGTCTTTACGCTTTATCCGCTGGTTATATGCTTGATGCTGTAGTAAATTTAGATTTTACTTCAATTGAAACAGTATGGAAAGCATTTTGGTGCACTGAAGAAGTACGAGTAAGTATTAAAAATATTATCGATTTTTTTTTCGACTATTCAATTGTATTTATATATATTCATGTATTCACAATATTCTCAATCATCAATAGGGTAGTATCGTTAAAAAGCAAATTTCTCAGAGACTGTGGTACATTTGAATTTCAATCACTAGCAGGTTATGTTCAAACCCCAGATCAGCAACTCTCACACATAAAAGTATACGTTAAAGTCAAGTCTATGAGTATATAAAGCTTCATCGATTGAGGGATGCATCACAGTTACATCAGCCTTCGAGTTCTCCGACGAGCAATACTGGGTTGAAAAGAGCCAGAATGGTAATATCATGTCAGCGACTTTTGATATAAAATTCTTGGTTGGGCCCCATGCGTTTCCTGTAATCAGTGATTGATGACTGACTGAATTGCATTATCTCAAATCTTTCACAACTGCTTGGTTGGGACTAAGTAGGTTTACTTCGCTTTTCTGTACACGTGATAGCGATGGTTTCTAAAAAGCAGAGTAAAGGCTGGATGCATTGCTAATCAATTGTTATGAACACCTTTGAGATATTTCATATCCATTATCTGTTAGATCCTTGATAATTGTATATGCAAAGATCTGACGTCAATTACACTTGATTGCTTATTGAGCAGTTAACTATGTTATATATGTATGAGATGTAAGGTGATGATGATTGGAGGTAGACGACAGGAAATTTAACCTAGATTTCGTGCCATTAGGTACTTATCACCAAGGTGTATCTGTAACGTCTCTTACTGAGGCTGTGACATGGGGTCGAACCCTCCAGGAAGTTCCCTTAGGATTATAAGTACAATTTTCTTGTCATTCCCAACTAGCACGAAACCTAAGTCGTGCAGGGTTTCCTGTCAACTACCTGCAACCACCGCCATACATGACTACCTTTCAGTCGCGCATTCCCCTCTACAAGTACGATTGACCAAGACAGTTTCTTCGTTTGAGGATTTTAGTCTTTACAATCTTCGGAATACTCTTTCATCTAGTTCACCTAATTATTATTTAAATAATTTCAGTCTAATATTTATGTTAGTTTTGTTTATTGTGTTTATTTTTTGTTATTGGTAGGATTCTCGGTTAAAACAAAGTTTATCACAAGAACGATTATATTCACTCGTGTCCGATCCGGCCATTTTACAATTTATTCGACTTTATGATCATACATTCTATCAATCATTAGCTGAAGTTTTAATACCAAATGTACTTCGACCTATTCCGCCAACTCTTACACAAGCAATTCGTAATTTTGCAAAATCTCTTGAAGTGAGCCAATTTTTTTTAGAAGGAAGACTATTATTACTTCATATTACGATAAATTAGCAGTCCAATGTTCCCTCCCTCTTCTCTTGGCATCTAATATTCCTTAACAAATCGACATCAGCTTGTGATGAAAATCCACTGAATCTGTCGACTAGATAACTATTGAAAACTAAGAAACGCTAACTTTCGTTTTGCCCTAATATGAGGCTCTTCATAATTGCCGACGCAAAATCCTACCAGAGATTCTAACTAATCACTTTCAGGCTTCTTGGCGAGTATATGTTAGACCGCTCACTGAGTTGGGATTCAGTGGTGTTAGTTAAAGTCATTTCGTAATGTAATCTACAATTTTATTTAGGATATATTCTACAGAACACTTAATGCAAATGTTTATCAAAAGTAATGTAATTAAACAGTAGTCCAAGAAAAGTTCCTTTTTAGAGGAAAAGATCGTCTACATTAGCTAGGGTTCCAAGAGCAACTCATTGCTCTCGATAACTTACATCCTGAAGCTCCTTGCTTTTTTTTAAGTGAATGAAGAAAGACACTTTTGATCTTGTTATTCGAATAACCGCGCCAGATACCTCCGAAAAAAACTTTAAGGCTAGACACACGATATTTTTGTATTATCTCCATAGTTTTCAAACCTTGTCATCTAGACTAGGAATCTGTTAAGTATTAATAAGTTTGTTTTTCAGGACAGATATGTTTTATCTTCTGTTCGTATAGAAAAACACCATCGCTGAAAATGTTAATGCTGCCACAATCTTCATTATAGTCAACAGCGATACATCATTATTCCTATTCGTTGTTTAATTTACTACTTTCTAACGGACTTACCTACATCTTTTACTAATAAGGGAACCTCAAACAACATGTGTTTAATTCATTCACATATGTACCATTTTCTACATTGCATATGATTTACTAAATTATCTGGTGCATTCAGATACTGCAATTTGTATGTTGCTAAGTTATGGATTTTTTATTGGTTGTTAATAATAATCACCTACTCCACAAGGGTTAATTTCAAGAGATGATTCTCAAATTTCTAGTGAGAATCGACGCAACCAATGGAGACAGTTAACTATTAATGGTTTATTTCAGAGAATAACTGAGCTATATCACGAATAAACTGAAGTTAGGAATATAAATTGTAATGAGTGAGACTCAGGTGGGGACGACCAATTGTATTTTGATACAAAATTACAGAGTTTATTAGTAAAATATAAGAACCATACACTCAATACTTCATTTGCAAATTTCCATCATTTATCCTTCACATTCTGTATGATTCTTCCAGTCCACAATTCCTTTCTATTTTCCCTTCTTTTCTCTTTAACTCGATTTTCTTTGCCTCCTGCTGCCAGGTTTTCCACTTCACATTAGTCTTACGTACTACTTATATTGAAAGACATAAGTAACATACACCACTAAACCTTTGAATACTGACTTAGTGATATAAAGGTTAAACGTTAATTATAAGATTTAGAGATTCTGGGTTCAATTCCCAGTGAGTTTGTAGATGCTCACTTATAAAAAACCCCATGCTATGACGAAACAACTGCCCAATGCTTTTTGCTTTTTAGTATTTGTTTAACTAAATTGAATCTATGATGCAAACGATACGATTCATTAATCTTCACAAACTTTATACACTAATACAATTTGTTCTCTCCTATATACTTTTTTTTACAAGGGTTGGATGCGTCAAGCTATACAAGGTTTAGATACAGATCTTATTAATTTAAAAATATCCGCTGTATGTGCATTAGCACAAACTCTTCGACGTTACACTAGTTTAAATCATTTAGCTCAAGCTGCTCGTGCTGTATTAAAAAATGCTAATCAAATTAATCAAATGTTGGCCGATTTAAATCGTGTCGATTTCAATAATGTACAAGTGAGTATTTCATTTGTTGTTGTAGTATGTGGTATCATAGTAAAAAATGTGTTTCATTAATCATCAGTTTATGCGTCTTCATTATTTAATTCATGAAATTTATAGTAGTAATAATCGTTCTTATGTAAGGGATATTATTCAGTTGAATTCACTAATCCACCTAAGCTAGACTACCACTGAAATCCTGGAAGCATCGGACATCTGTTACATTCTAATATGGAACTCAGCGTTGCGCATCCACGATCCTGCACGCGGGAATCCAGCCCAGGGTCTTCGGTCTCGCGCGCGAACGCCTAACCTCTAGACTACTTAGCCGGCGCCCAACGCTGTTAATTTCACTACGAATTATCATCCATCAGAATACCATTGAGAAAAAGAAGACTAGAGGACACTGTTTTTTGTCATTCTAGTTTAGGAGATTCATTAGAAGTAAACAAATTGATTACAGTTGAAAATATGAAACCATTGTGGTTTCGATGCACTGCTAAGGATTCTCATGCTATGGCACAAAACATCCAATATTTCATACTTTTCAATATTATCTGTAATTTAATGTTCATCTTCGACAATTACAACGTACATAGGTTTCTGTCAATGGTCTTCAATCATGCAGCATGATTGAAATCTTGGTGAAGATTTATAGTTACAGTGGTTGCTTTCAGTGTTATTAAGTTCTCTGAGATTAGGTGATTGATATATGGATCTTTCATTTCTGTCCTGGATAACAACATTATCAGCTTCCTATTTATTTCACAAGCGTTAATTCAGTTCTTTCTGTCGGCTTTGTTTGTGATGGGTTAACAGAAACATTAGTTATAGGAAACAATGGGCATACAAAACTGTATGAATTCGTGGAACAAAAGATATAAGATAACTCTGAAACTTAAGATTGTCCTTTGTTTGCCTACGTCACAAGTGACGTAAGTTGTAAAAAGCCAACCATGCTTTTTAAATTCGTGTTGAGATTTTATACAACAGTTTGCTCCGTTCTACTTTATATGTGTTAAATCTGGCCATTAAGATTAAAGGATATCCGTAAATTTCTTGTATTCGATCATAGATATCTTCGAAGTATCGCTCGTACATTTTTAAAACACTGATTGAGCAACTATCGCGTTCGACAGTACTAGGTAGGGATAGCAAATCAATTGATAAAATAATAGGTCATTATCAACTGAGATATTTGTGACATGTAATACGTTTGGACATCAACCGACTACTTCGATACCTAATAATGGCCGATTCAGGAGTAGGCTGGAAGAAGTTTGAGATAGTCAAACGATGGTATGAGATCAGTCCATGAAAATACTGATTGTTGAACTGAGTCTTTTAGGTAGGTCCAGACCACCAGGTTGAAGTGGGCGTGATTATCGTAACCAATGTTTTGGGTGATATGGCTTGAAATTGTTCACAATCACTTGGATGAATATCCAGTTTCTTCCAGAACCTGATCCCGAAATATTATACCCTATGTTTTCTTCCTCTCCACTACTATTATTCTGGAGTTTTTCTTGTGGTAGTTTTTATCTATCTGTATTAATTTGGTATGGCAACTTGAACCGACACACATATATGTCAGGTTCTACATTGTGTATGATTGACTGAGTTGAATATATATACGTAATTGTCTACATGTATCTGTATTATCATATTAATGACATATCATGCGAAATAACTAAAAACTCTCATTTCCATATGAGATAAGCGCTAATGATAAAGTTTATTTTGTTGTAAACTACAACTCCACCAAAGTACAACATATTTTACCGGAAATGTTATCTTCACTTTTCCTCCATAATATCTCTCCTATCAAATGTTATTTACTTTTCTTTCTTCCTCTCTCTATCTACAGGAACAAGCTTCATGGGTATGTCAATGCAGTGATTCTACTGTTAGTCAGTTAGAGCATGATTTTAAACGTATTTTACAAAAGCATGCATCACTGGAAGAATGGGCTCAATGGTTAGATACAGTAGTGACTAGCATCTTACAACCACTTGAAGGCAATAGTTTGGCTTATACAAGAGCTGCACATCAACTAGTATTGAAATGGTCTTTTTACAGGTAAGTTTTTAATAATTGAATTAAGAAATCCGAAAATTTTCATAGTTTAAATTACAAAGTAATCTTCTTGGTAAGCGACCATTGGAGACCTGAAATCACTGAACAATTGTTTGATACCTAATATAGAACTCTTTAAAAGTGCTCATCCACAATCATAACCACAAGGAATCGAACTTAATCGTTCGGTCTCACCCGTAAATGCTTGACCTCTAAACCACTGAAACGGCATCCAATAAAGGCAACCTTTATTCATTGCCTTCAATAGATAATTAATCGTTTCTTGCATGTCAGAGCTGAACTGCGTTGGTTACGGCCTCACCAAAACTCCAAAAGTTCCATCTTGAAGCTAGTTCGTGATTTAAACTATGAAAATTCTCCTATACTAGTAAAAATCCGAAAACATTGATTATGCGACTCAAATGTTTTGCATAATCTATGAATCGTATCTAGTTTGATTGATTAATCAATGGAATGATGACTTTGCATAAAATCCTTGTATTTAACCCCACTCTCTTAGAAATTGGATGATAAATAACCAAGAAACCTGAGCTATGTTAGTTTTCTCCTTAGTAGTGTAGAACCTCGTATCCAAGCTATTCTTAAATCACTAACATCCTGATTTTCATATACCTCAAATTAGCCAATAAATAAAAGGTGGACAAAATACACACTTTACTTGACAGCTTTCAATAACTTATAAAATGACTTTAAGAAAGTGAATAATTTATTACATAAAAAACCCTTAAAAATGCTTTGGTTAAAGTTATAAGGCTTTCGAGTTTAGATGTTAGGATTATTGCTATGTTTGAAATGATTACGAAATCGGAACAAAAGTCAGAAACACAACAACAGGATAAGTTAAATTATTCCACTCTGCACCAGTTCTAAAAACTAGAGGGAGAATGCCAGATTCAGTCGAGGAAAATGTATATTGCACAAACAATCAGAAGCACGAACGAATAAACACACAACTCATACGTATATATATACAGTACCAAAATGTCCTCGAAAAACGTTACAAAATAGCATACTAAAATAGGACACGAACCAATTATATTTAAAGTCAGTCCAAGTGATAAATACAAATTGAAAGTAAAAGCGGGCGCTTTTGGCGCGAAAATGCCAAATTCTAATTCCCAAAATAAGATTACAAAAATGAGATGTTTACCTAGTGATTTCTGGGGACTTAGCATCCTTAAGAAGGGTTAAAGTTAAAATATTCTTTATAGACATATGTAAATAAACGATCGGTCAATCAAAAGCAACATAAAACTTGGCATATGTGTACATCAGTTCAAGCTGCTATGTCCCCATTAGCACAACAACATGTAATTATCAGGTCAAACAAATTCCAGAGTAGTAGCGGTAGTAACAATATTAATTGTAATAGAAGCGGTTAGGCATCGCAGATATGGTTCGGGAAATAAAACAAAATTGATGAAGTACTTAAAAACTTAGGATGTAAGGGAAGATGAAAAGCAAGTGGACCCACGCTATTCCGAAAATGCCTAGCCATGTTACCCAAAACATTGATTATAATAATCACTCTGACCCTAACCTGGTGGTCTGAAACTACCCATATGGCTTAGTCCAGTTGTGAGTGTCTCCATGGACTAATGTCATGTCTTGATTTAATCATCCCTAACTTTCTTCCTATCCATTCTTGTACTACCATTAACTCGCGTCGCATTCGCAGGTGGATGTCCACACGTAATACTTATCCCAACCATCTCAATCGATAACGATTCACTAACTAGCCATTGAATTTCCCACCCTCACCTAATACTCTGGGTCTAACATGAAGGTTGCTAACTCGCTGTTTCCAAAATATATGATCGATATATCGAGGAGACTTTTAATCAAATACTAGTAATCAACAAGTATCCTACATTTCATACCCATAAAGTACAAGGTAGTTAAGTGCTGCACCGTATTATCATCCTTTAGCTGGTAGACGGATAACTCACTTGCACCACGATTGACACAAGTTGGCAGGGATCAGCCGAGATTTCGTCAGACATCAACATACCAAAAGTGATGAGACCCGTAAAATAAGTGAATTGGTGAACAATAGTTTACTTATCATTAATTTAGGCGTTTACTCAGGCCAAACTTGAAGTAATATTTCGAATCAGAAGGGAGAGAAACACATTGAAATCATACTTGTATTGTTGCTCAAGGTGGTCAAGAGACTGGAGTTTTTCAGCGTCTTCACCAAAAATAACTATATCAACTGAGTATTCTAAATCAACAAGAAATTCTCCTGTTAAAAGATTGATTTTTGATATGTATACTTATGTGTTCTTACAAAACTTCCGTAAGTTTAATCTCCTGAACTTTATTGAACTGTATCATTTGTTTTAAGGCTATTAATACGACACTATCTGGTTGCTGAAATAGGAGTAATTGAGCTGATGGTGTCGTAATCTGAAACTATGGTTACTGTACATAAATACATATTTACCGCATCTTTAAACGACTAGTCTTATTCATCTTTTCTATATTCTTACAAGTTGTAGTTGCATTTTCCTTGTGTATATATTGTCGTATTATTATTACTACTGTGTTTTCTTCTCTTTTTCCCTCACCAAACAGTTCAATGGTGATTAGAGATCTGACGTTGAGATCTGCATCGAGTTTTGGCAGTTTTCATTTAATTCGACTATTATATGATGAGTATATATTTTATTTAGTTGAGCACAAAGTCGCTGCACATTTAGGCATGACACCGGTCGCTGTTATGGGTGAAATGGGTAGAGTAAGTATTATTATTATTGTATGCAAATTATTAGTCATCAATACTCAATGGCTCAGTAGGTAACGTGTTGGTGTATTTGCTGCAAAAAAATCCTCATTTCTAGTCTCAATGCAAGTATCAATACTAACGAGTTTTAAGTAAGACGATACTCATACATTGTGTATTCAATAAATACGTGAACTGAATTACTATGATTGTTAGTTATGTAGTGATAGGTAAATAAATCTGTTTTGTAAGCAAATCAATCATCTCAGTAAAAGCCGTGGAGACTCCAAGAATAGTGAAATTCATCAAGCTCATATGTTGATGTAATCATTTACCATTCAGCTATCCAGACCAAACTGTAATTTGATTGATAAAATTTGTCGGCTCTAAAGACTAGGCAAAGATAACATTGTTCACTAATTAATAACCAATCTCTATAATAAACATCTTCGTACAAAAGGAAGTCAGTGATGACTTGAATGTTCCAGTGGCGACGTTTCATATTGTAAATCTAGGTGACTAAGATTTTAATCTGTTACGTAGCGTCAATTCCTTAAAGATTACAGGCTCAACTTACAGATGAATACCAACTAACAAGAAACATAGGTCCTTTGTTTTCTACCGACTGTTTGTATATGTCTTTAAGCTGCACGCTAGTCGTACTAATTAACTATCTCGACTTAAATAGAAAAAGTGTGATTTCCCAATTAGATAATTGGAAACTGTTTCCTTTTACTATTAACTTACATAAACGTCTGAGATTTTGATTCGACCAAATACTACTACTACTTAGAGATATAAGTAGTCGAATGCTACTCACTATTTTCCTTTCTTGAGCCTCAGAATCATTATTGATGTTTGTAGAAATTCGTTGATGGCGGTATGGGCAGTATACATTGTTGAGTTTGATTGATAACAACGTAATCTCCGGTGGATAAAGTTGTAAGGGCAGTTTTTAACTCCTGAAGGTTCACATCGTGAAGAGATATTATTGAGCTACCTGAAAAAAGAACTAGATTCTTAGCAGTAGAATGGTCTTGTCACCCTGGGAGCATGACTGAGGCTTCCAAAAACAACTTCTTGAAACTAGTCACACGTGGTCGTTTCGGGATTAGTTTTTGATATGTTAGCTCTATATATCTCAAACTTTCTGGTAATAGGAATTTATGAGGCAAAGTGAAGTGTATTCTTTTTAGGCTTGATTTTTCTAACCTCCTTACTTTATGGTATTGTTAAATCGTTACAGATCTAAGCCATCTAAGTGAAATTTTTGTAACTTATTTATCATGATGATGTTTTCATAGTAGACAGAGAGTTTTAATCAGTTCTGGAATTCATTATTACTTCTAATAGGGTTTTGTATTCTCTCGTTACTACCGACATCCAGAATTTGATTTTATTTTGTTTAAATTAAGCAATATTACTTCTATACTACCTGCATTTTGAAGTTTTACTATGATCTGTTCAAAACGAATAGCGGATAGTGGAATCCAAGATGTATGTTTCATTCAGTTAATTAGGATACATCACTTGGTTATCTTAATGTAGTACTCCTCATACACTGAGAGATTCAATATTTGAAAATTGTAAACATTCTACAATGAATACTCGTAAATTAAATTGTATTGGCCTGTGTGATTCTGTTGTGGTTTAGCATTCGAAACCCCCATGGATCAGTCACTCAGATTCAATCTAGAACCTGGTACATGTTGAATCTGCCATACCACATTAGCGCAACGAGATGAAGTTTTCAGGGTGAATCCCAATTTAATGCAGGTAGTAACGGTATTAATGGTTAGGCATTGGAGATTCGATCAAAAAAACTGATGATGAATATGGAAACTTAGGATCCAAGAAAAGACAAAGAGTAATTGCGCTTGTGCCATTGCGAACGATTTTGAGCCATGTTGCCTACCTCTACTCGTTGGTTACGATAACCAGGCGGAGCTCATCCAGATTGTCTGCATTTACCTACATGACTCGGGCCAATTGTTACAGACTTCATGGACTGATGTAATGTCTTGCTTTGGTCACTCTTAAATTTCTTCCGACTTACTCGTACACTAGACAGCATCACGTGTTGAGGTAATTGGGGAATGGTTATATGTGATACGTGTTCTAAGCATCTCAGTCGATAACGACTCACTACCTAGTCAATGGATTTGCTACACTCACCTAGAACTTTGGGTCTAAAGTGAAGGTTACTAACTCTAAGCTTTGTCATTCAACTTGTCCAACCACCAATCGCGGTTATCACACGCAGTTCAACCACATAATCTGTGCCTATCAATATGTTACTGACTAAGTAAATTGTTGTCATGTCTTGGTTTATTCACCCCTAGTTTTCTTTCAACTCCTTACTTTACCCAACATTGTATCATAAAGTTCTGGAGTTTTTATGCTTTGCACTTCTAATCATTAGTCTCTAACTGATAAGATCCTTAATATGTTAAACCTAAGTCAAAATAACTGCTTTTTTATCTTTTAAATGTTATTACCCTACAGGATATTACTCAACAACATTGTGCTCAAAATCGATTACATTTGGACAATCGTAATGTTCCTGGGAAATCTTCTAAATCTATTCACAATAATAATAATAATAGTAATACAACAGTACATGATTCTCCACAACATGATAATTCGAATTATTTGCCGTTTGTTAATGATGATAATAATAATAATGATAACAATAATAATGTAGATCATACAAATCCTATATTTCATCAACAAAAACACTCAATTAATTTAACTAAAGACCGTGTTGTTGTTGTAGGCAATGATGATTGTAATCCGGACACTAACACTAATAATGTTATTAGTCGCGAGAAAAATAGACGGGAACAACAACAATTAGACAGTGACGGTGTCATTGTTGACGAAGATGTCATGGATCATCATCATCATGACGATGACGAAGAAGTGGATGATTTCGATGAAGAAGTTGATGAGTACTTAGACGATGAAGATGAAGTGGATGATTCATTAGGTGATGAAAATGCCATGTTAAAAGAAGCACATGCTTCAGCACAAGCTTATTGTCGAAACTCTTCAATCGCTGCGACTTCTACTTCTACTGTCCTGATACCTCAATCATTAGATTCAACTGATGATATGCCCAATACTACTGGCAGGAAGAAAGATACTTTGAAAATAGAAGATGAAGCAAGCCATGAAAAACAGTCAAACATTCAAGATGTTATTGTCGATGATAACGATAACAATAATGATATTGTTGACGACGAAGTGGTAGTAGAGAACACTGACGAAGGAACCGATAACAATAAAAATAAATCAGAGAAGTTAACTCAAAAACATCCGAATCTACTCAATAATGATAAAATTAGTTCGTCGACACCTGTTGAATTAACTGTTCAACAATCCGATAAAGATAAAATATCAACCAGTACAACGACAACCACTGGTAGTTGTTCTCCACCGTCAATCGTAACAATGGTAAAGTAGAATATATCATATATGTATATATATTTACGTATTCATAGTGTTATGTACTCAGTTAGATAGTTTAATTACGGATCTCCTATTGTCATTCTGAGTACCAAATCATTTCGTTCCGATATCCTACCTCCTTTGTTTGTAATTGGCCTTTAAAATCGATAGATATAATAATTACAGAGTTGCTAAAAAGCTTACTTTTAAATAAAGTAAACTCCGATATCGTTGAACGGAATGATATAACAAACTTCATAATTATACTATCATCCAGCTCAGAGAACATATCCATCAAAGTATCCATCTTAACAGTAAATTTTCCTCGTTAATTCAAATGTAAGGTTTCATGAAGATTTCAAAATAAACGAGAACAGAAAATCTGGCAAAATTTGTAGGGCATTATGTCAACAGAGGATTCTCATTATAAAATATACAATACTTCATAATAAACTAGTTCTCTTATATATCTGTTCAAGGTATAAATATTTAGTATTAAAAAATATGGAAGCACTAGACGGGTGTTTCGTCCCAGTATGGAACTTCTCAGTAGTATGCATCCTCGATCCTGCATTCAGAAATCGAACCCAGGACTTTCAGTTCCACATGCGAATGCTTAACCTTGTGAATTCGACTGTGAAAACACTACAATCTCCATAAATCCCTATACTGAATAGAAAATGTATCAATATAATGGTGCGTAACTGTTATACATCTCCATCTACCTGTAAACGTTTACAATACTTATAAATGACCTTCTTGTGTAATATACCATTTGGTGCATAAGTTCCATCATATCATCTTTCCATTCAAATAGATGGACAAGTAGAAAACTACTAATTAATCACCGAGTAGTAATGATCAATGTCGAATTGCGTAATATTGTTCTATGCAATGTTAAACCACTTAAACGAGTGACTGATAGGCTTTGATCATCAATAAAGGACTAGATAAATATGACATTGGTTAATACTTACTAACTACTCAATGATCAATCAATTATAAAGTAGGGAAATATACAGTCATTGTGTTTGTAGGTGTAGTTTTTTCGTTTGAAATTATGGACTGAAATACTTTTTCTGTACGTATGTAGATGTGTATGACTTTTACAAAGTCAGTATAGGATTGTTGAGATTATGAATCGATCAATGTTAGATCACCATTGAAAACCTGGAAGCACTGGGCGGCCGTTCTGTCCTAGTATGAGACTCCTTAGCAGTGTTCATATTAGGACAAAATGGCCATCCGGTCCTTCCAGGTTTTCAACGGTGGTCTTACACTGATCAATTCGTGACGCATTTATTTACATGCCGTTTAAGTTCTTGGTGAAGCAAGGATATTGTTTTGTTGTTCACTCATAATCATTGTGAATGGGTATATTTCGCTTATATATATGTCACATTTTTTTCCTTTTTATTTAAACACATAAACATTAGTACAAGGACGCACCAAACAGATATGCACCACACTTCATCATTCGATTTGTGTGAGGGCTAGGATACTGCCCGGGTGCCCAAACCGAAGCAGGTGGTTTTCTTAGAGGGCCACACTCGGAGCCTTCGGCCTAAAAGTCTGGTCCACAAGGCAGGGAAGCAACGTCAGGAGATTCAGTCCCATGGTGACAGGTGACCAACGATTGGTTCGTACACCGTTTGCCCATATGCACCATTGATTTGGTATGAGGGTTTTTCAACTCGCCTAGGTGGACCCTCCGTGTTTACCAACCCGGTTAAAGTGCCAGACATTCGCTTTTCGTCCTCTCAATTTCGTAAACAACACCCACGAGAAGGCAGTGAGTAGGACTTACCTGTCAGTGGTTGTATGCACGTGGCAATGTGAGAGCATTTCGAGAGGGAGAGCGGACTCTCCTCTCTCTCGGCCGTACCAGGACACATTAATTCTGATAAATACCGCCTTCTTAGTGCATTATTTAAATTGATCAAAAGGATTATTGTCGTAAATAACTGATTTTCCTGTTTGCTTTTATTATTTTTAAAAAATGTTTTAGCCTAATCCTGTACGTAAAGTTGTCCGTGTCACTACATTTTGTGATGCAAAACAACCATCAGTAGTTGTAGAGTCGTCATTTGCTAATTCTACACCATTTACAACTACTGTAGCTACTACTACTATTGCTTCTACCACTGCTACTACTCCACGTTCAATTAATGTAAAACAATCACCACCTGGATCATCTTCAACAATATCAACACCAACAATAACAATTAATTGTAATAGACCAATTGAAATTCATCCTTCTTCTTTTCATATCACTACTACAACTCCATCTTCTATTATTAATAATGGTAATACAACAATAGTAAATAAACTAAATGTTACTACCAATTCAACTATTCCTACTGATATAATCTATGCAAAACGACCAAAATTATCCTAATCACCATGTATACCTTCGTATTTGTTTCAATGAAAGAACCTCATTATTAATATGTGCATTACAATCATTAATTATTGCATATCACAAAACTGGTGAAAGGCAGCAGTCATTAAAGATAATAAAGTGTGTGTTTTTTTTCCACAGAATTTTCTATTCCGTCTTTTACACTTTCATAACTATCAGCACCTATGTTTGTGCTTGTGTGTGTGTATGTATTGAATAAACGTTTAGTACAATTTAATAATTTCTTGTGTGCACAATCATTCCATTTCTTTCTTTTGTATATTGTCTGTTTATTGATTATCCAATCACTAAAGTTTGTGTTTTGATGATGAGACTCTGTACACATTTATATGTTGAGGGAGAGAGAGGGGAATGCGCACCTAAAAGGAATGGGACAGATCATTTCCATTCTCTATGATAATAACTCCAATTGAGTATACTTTTGCACTATTCAAATATTCTTGTCAATATGACAACTGTTGGCAGTATGTTCAAGTGTATGTATGTATGTGTGTGTGTGTTTTGGTTATTGTGTTAGATTGTCATGTTGTCTGTTTTGTGTATATTAATGATTTCTGTATAATAAAATCAACAATCTTATGATCTTCCATTGTGTTGAGTTGTAAGACACAATGCATTTGTGCTGAAGTTATAATGACTACTACATTACAACTTGGTAGGATTTGATCAGTGTTTATTTCAATCGTATCAGATGTGGTGGTCGTACCAACAGATTGTGATGACCCAATCGAGTTATTTTAAATGATACCATGCCAGAGTGATCGGATGACGATATCGTCAAGACTAAAACATAAGGTTTAAAGGGAGAAAGTCACAATACTGGCTCTACAGCTTATCTAACAGCAACAAGATATAGCTTACAAATAACCTGTGGTTACTACCTTCCCACAACGGAAGGAGGGAGTTAAAATTGGTCGATCCTAAGAACGGCACTCATCTCTTTCAATCAGATATTTGGTCCCTTAGCTCTGTCGTCACACTCCTTAGTCATCATGAACAATCCTAACCCAGTTCTCTTTTTATATCCTTCCAAGGTCTAGGCCAACTTGAAGTGATAAATGCCCGAAAACCTCTCACAGCACTCAAACTCACTACTAAAACATATACATAAACATGACGTCGATGTTACTAGTACTGAAGATCGATCGCAACTTGAATAGCTTAATTGTTATGTTTCAGACTGAAATTGAGTAATGCTAGTTAAAACCCTACAGATGATATCATATCCCTCAAAACCACATGTTTGCCTTGTCTCCTGTCAACATAAAGATGAACTACCAATTGGAACCAAACTAGGTGCAAGATAACATTTCAACTCACGACCCAGTAGGGTTAACTGGGTCTTTATTTATACGATTTAACTCATTCGCTTGGTAAGTAACGACAAATCTCTTGCTTCCATCCTTTACCATTCAAGATTTGTATCTATGTAAAAGCCAAAGCCGTATGACATCAGAATCATATTTGTGTACTAAATTGTAAGGATTTGAATCTTTCCATTTATGTTAAGGACTCACTTTGTAAGTGAATAACGCGTTGGACGTTTAAAGCTAGAGGTGGTATGTTCTAGTTCCAGCGCAAGCATCGACACAGGTGCAGTTGCATCCAGCTGACAAGTCCCAGATAAGAAGAAGTACACGTCTTGAATACCACTCCTAGCCATTATCAACCATCGCATAAGAAATCCTTGCTCTAGAGCATTCTACTCTGTTATAGTTATTATCTTAGATTGACGTTGAAAATATCCAGTACTATTTAATGACTATTAGATATTAACACACAAACCGAAGTACCTTGAAAAGTATATATATATATATATATATATATATATATATATATATATAAGGTAAGTCTCATTGCAAAGCACGTGCGAAACCATGGTTATCATCCTCGTGACCAAACTATCATCATTATGATTGAATGATAATAAAATATTTTAAGTGAACCTTGAAATCAACTAGGTACCAATTTTTAACAATGTTATAAGTCACTTTAAGATGTGTATGTGATATGAACAGAGGCACAAAGAAGTCTTGATGTATCTTTTTACACTAATCTGAATTGGAAATAAAGTGAGTAGTGTTCTAGTTGACTTGTCTTCTCTTTCTCTTGTGTGCTTGTCAGCCAATCAGATGATAGGATAGTTTTTATCTCTCTACTTCAAATAGTTGATGTCACTTAGATCTCACACATACTAACCTCACAAGGTCAAGCCAGTCAGTCTATCACGTCAAGATCTTAATCTAGATTTAGACAAGTTATCTTCTCTGCATAGAAGTGGGTAGGCAGGTCAAGGATGTAACACTATATTATTTCTGAATATTATTATTACTGAGAAGAACTTGCTTTTCATAGAAAGTCATTCAACTGAATGTTAATAAGTATCTTTTTTTCTAGATTATGTATAGTTTCGTCGGTGATGGGTCCAATCTATCTAAAAATTTCTACTGAATTTATGCGCACTGCTGAGGAGTCTCACAATAGGACGAAATGGCCGTTCAGTGGTCCCAGGTTTTTCATGGTCGTCTAGCTTCAATTGACTCATGATCTTAACCATTGAAATTACTACAATATCCACAAAACCTTTCTGATATGAATTTATATTACCTAGAAAGAAAATGAAAAAGTTTCAATTCAGAGAATGTAACTGCACTAAAACAACTTTTGGCGAAACTATAATTTATGGACAAATCAATCAGGCTTTGGGATAATAGGTCCCAGATTTTGGCACGAAATTCACTCATCCAAAACAGAGTTTTGGCATTATAGCTGTTATCAGTTCGTGATGAAAACTCTAAATCTAGTTCCTAACTCTAACCATCAACTGTAAATCATAAGTCTAATTCCTCACATCTTCATTTGATCTTAGTTACCAGGTGGATACACCTAAGGTCACTACTCTATCGTTGTTTAAAAGTCGTCCATAAATTATAGTCTCCCCTATTCACACTTTACCTTTTGGCTTGTTCATGTATAGTTATTTTTTTATTTTATGGTATGATATGGTCTGGTATGTCAGTGTTTAGTGTCCCTAAATTTGACTCCATATTGGAAGGCTATGTGTTCATATCACGTTGAGCACATCACTTTGACGGCACTAAATCTGACTCCAGTTATATCCTATGAATGATTGTTATTGAAATTTACATATCATCAATCCTCGCATTAGTGAACAATGGAATTAAACAAGTCAAATACGAGAATAGATGTTTGAATACGTATATTTTTTACACTCATTGATTTGGACAAACAATCGAATGAACGAAGAGAAGAGAGCGAATCGAAATGACGCGCAGTAAAGAAGTCGTATGAGCCAACTCAATATAGCCAAGCATGAATTGATATTTATAGTCGAACAAAAATAAGTTACAAACATGTGATGGGTAAAATAAGAAATGCACACATACACTTACATAAAAACAATCAAAGGTTAATAAGCGAATAAGTGACAGGGTAAAAATGTGATTTGAGCAGAAGGAATAGATTGATCTGTTCAGAATCTGGAATAACCTTTGTAGGCTTAACATAGCAGCCGACACTATTTTTTTTTCTGGATTATAAATATTCTAGAGGTTGGTTGCAGACTTTTAGATTCAGGTGAGAAGCTGGCGAATCATGAACCAATATTAACTTATCTGTTAACTCAAGGTTAATTGTACTGGTTGCCATGTCAGAGACGCTAAGTTATACAGTAAATAATGGATGAAAAATAGACCAAATTCGAATCAGGCTTCGAATTGATGATCTATCATGTGATCTTGGTCAACAGTCACGGGATATACTCTACATGATATTATTTTCACCAGTTCTAACAAATGTTCACACTGTATACATGAAGGGGTTTTGCATATAAATTAAGATAAATTACATTACTTACCGAATTTCCTGTGCAAGACAATGGAAGCTGTGACCAGTGGAGCTAATGCATGTCGGGTAGACATGGAAGTTGGTCGCGCAATTTCGTGGATTGGTTGATCTTAGACACTATCACCACTGGATGCCGACTCAGTGGTCCAGTAGGTTAAGCGTTCGCGTGCGAGACCGAAGGCCCTGGGTTCGAATCCCGCGAGCGGGATCGTGGATGCGTGCTGCTGAGGAGTCCTACGGTAGGACGAAACGGCCGTCCAGTGCTTTCAAGTTTCCAACGGTGGTCTAACATTAGTCGGTCCATGATCTCAACCAAAAAAATAAGGAATTCTCTTGATCGTGTCTAGTTTGATAGTAATGGTAGAGTTTAGAACTATTAAGTATCGCTGATATATGTGTAACTGCTTATTTTTCTGGTTCAGTATATTTCATAATAATGTTCAGCTTTGGGTAAATTTGAAGTCATACAATCAACATTTTACCATTAACTCAATGAGACAGAGTTCTAATAATCAGTTTTTTTGATAATGTACAGTTATCATACAAAATGTGGCATCACTCTACGAAGTCATTAATCGCTTAACTAAGTCATGTTGTTAGGTAAACAATATGTCGTTGAGATCTGTATGATTATCATGGCCACTAGTCAATCACATGACGAAAAATCGGTCACGATCCACATTCATCCACTTTTAGTGTTCTCATTCAATTCAGTCGATCTAGATCTACATTCATCACACTGATAATTCCAAGACATTAGGTGAAACCGGTTCGCCAATTTCTTCAACAAAAGAACGTTCAATTCCTCTTGAGCACCAACGGGACATTAGTTTGCCAAGGAGGTACACTGAACGATTTTATTGCATACACGATCGACTCTGTCTCTATTGTAGATACTCATCCGAAAACTGATCTATCAATCGTCAACACAAATCAAGTCAGGAGCACGTGAATCACCTGACAAACCCATACAGTAATCAATAATTTATTAAATAATAAAGGCATAAACAAATTAGGAAATCGGCTTGTTGGGTCAGTACAAGTCGTGAATTGCAATTTGAACTACTGACTGTTATTTAGTAGTTTGTATGTAAATTACAAAAGCAGGTGAGAAACAGCTGATGGTAGGAGAAAAACACATAACTTAAATAATGGACCGTCAAATCCTAAACAAATTCAGCTTTCATCGATACCACAGTGTCACATTAGAATCAAGCCTCTCTATTCGTTTTTTACACCCCCCGTGCTCTAATGGAAAAGCATAGTGTGGAAGATAGTTGTGATGTTCTACCCAGATTGATTGGTAAAAGCTTTACCGGGGAGGCCTAAGTAGACCCTTCTGGAATGGACTCCATGTTTTCAAGGCTGACAAACCCACCGCTTGAATATGATTTCGCTGGGAACTGCGGTCCCGAAGGTCTTTGCATGCGTACAGATATTGTATCAACATGAGTAAGTGTAGAATTTTTTAAATATTTCCTTGCCACAGTCTACATGCAAACTAGTTAACGCACGGACTTTCATTCGAGTTTTTCTTGGTATACATACAGATATACCTAACTTGTGAGCAAATATATGTTACATGCGTACCGGTAACACATAGATCTACCTCATGCATCCCATATTATACATATAGGTAAACCCACCCCCTTGGGAATGTAGTGTTGGGGACGATAGATCCCCAAAACTCAAATTTTGTAATTTACTTATCGATTAAATGTGCAGATAGTCAATGATGAACTATCGATTAAATGTACAAATAGGTCAATTGATGAACTATCGATTAAATGTTCAATAGCAGTCAATTGTTGATTAATGTTCAAAATCTTCTATGACAATATCGATTGTAAATAATTGTATAAATACGCTTGACTTGTATGCTTGATCTGATCTGCCTGTCTGACTTGTTATCTGCT